TGGAGGAAACAGGTTAAGAGGACCAGGAAGGAGAAAAGCAAAAAATCAGAATATCAATTTGTACTGACAAATCATTCGGTACTAAATTCTAAAGACACGTAGAGTGCATAAAGAACTGATGGCTTGATTAGCTCTTGTGGCGCAATTGAAGGAGCTGTCTCACAGATTCTTCATTTGGAGAAACACTTTGATCTTTGTTCAAGTCAATTCATGAACATCAACTGACAAGGCTGCATGAAACACCCTGATGGTTAGGTCCAAACTCCAAGCAAACTATTTGGTTTCATTAAGGGCTTCCAGAAAAGGTGACTAAGACAATCCTTTCAGAAGCCAACACACAAGTGACTCTTTAAATTCTAATGTGCACAATGTATGACAGAAGGCTAACACATATAAGCAATCGGGCAAGTATGGGAATATCTACTTTTTGACAAAAAGGAGTCACATTTCAGTTTCACTCTCATTAAGCCATTGTAAGGTTCTTATACAATATCAAAACTCTACATCAATAATATCTAGGCAGAATCATTTAAAAAAAAACACTAAAAAAGTTGTGCATATTTTTTAATGGAGAGAGAGGAAAATAAACGTGCTAAACATTTCATAAAATAGAGTAAGATATTAAGAAATTAATTAGAGGGCTTTCTTTTCTATAGTTAATTTTTTAATTGCAGTTTAACCCCCTTTTAGAAAGGGGATTGTTTCAAAGGGCTCATTTTTGCACCCACCCTGTCAAAGAAGGTCAGAAACACTCAAGTATAAAGTCACTGCACTACTGTGGCACAAACAGTTTCTGCGGCTAAAATCAAACAAAGACCAATTAAACTAATCATAACGTTCCAGTGAACACAAGGAAGCTCACCTGGTATTTCTGGACTTCTTTCGTGAATTTTCAAATCTACTCAGTTCTTGGTATTATAATTACCTTGACCAAAATACTGTGAAATTACTGCTCTGATCTACTAATGGCTGAAAAAATCAAGTCGTTGTGGTTTCATGCCAAGGGGCCATAGCAAGGTGGCGCAATGATTTCTGACACAGAAGACAACTTCTAAAAACTCAAAAGGGAAAATTAACGGGATGTGGTTTACATTGCCAAAGACTGTTCATTAATTACCAATTTAATCACTGCTGGAGGCATGACATTACAAAAATCTGGCTGAAAGTTCTAATAGATTATGAAGACCACCTAAGAAGAGTGACCAAGAAATGTACAAAACAATTAATACTGTTTCACTGCTATCAAAGACACTCAGATTATTTTACATCAAGTGAAGCAAAGGAATTAGTAGCTTCACACTGCCACCACTAGGAACTGTAAATACAATAGCACACAATTAGTAATGCACATGTGACTTTTCATTCAAGGCATATATCCTTGGGAAAGCAGGAACATGATAAGAAGAACAAAAGAAACATTAAAAAACAAAATGAATAAAGATTTAAAATTTACTCTTGTGCATGCTGAGCAATAACAAAATAGGCAATATAAAATACAGCTTTAGTAATGGTGATATTCATCCTGGGATGTTCAATACGGCACTGAACAGGCATATGGAAAATGTCCACAGCCATTAATACTTGCATAAAAGAAGTGTTCCTGATGCTAAGACACCTAGCCCTAGCTTCATGCATTCATGGCAACCTCAAATAAGACTTTTGAGGCTAGGGGTTTATGGCCACATAATAGAAAAGATGCTTTAGTTTTTTTTTCCTCCACATCAATGCTGGTATTTTGTATGACTTTGAAGATATGCTAGCAAGCTAACAATATGTTTTCTAAGAAGTCTAGTAACTATTGTTAGGATAGCTGACTTCAAATCAACTTACATTTAGACATAATAGATAAACTATTATTTAAAATAATATGGAATAAAAATCACTGCTTTGTATGGAGCTATTTATGCTGAACATAGAAGTACACTGGCATTCTTCTCCTCTAAAATGCAACTATAAAAAGATCAGCTATACATTCAAAGTGTCTTACTGGTCTGAAATAGATTTTATACATGAAATATTTTGGTGATTGTGTTGAAGTAAAAAATAAGGATATATTTTCATTTCAGTGCCCTGGGCACAGACAGTCCAGCTCATAGGGAGAATAAAAATTCCTAAGTAAAATCTGTATATTATTAAAGGTTTTAGATTTTTTAACTAAAAACTCACTCTGTATGTTACTAAAGATTTAGTAACTTAAATAATAAGTGATAATTGACATCCTTTCATACAAAATTACAAATGTAAAGTCAAATTACTTCTTCCTAATAGTAGAAGTGATAATATGTGTAATTAGGAAAAAGACAAAATTTTAACTTGAACTTAATTTTAAAGTTTTGATTCCTAGGAGGCTATTTAAGACAGTCAATATTCATAAATATGTTAGTATAATCTTATACATAATTTTATGATGTTACATACTTAGAACACATACATACGAAAACTACAGGAAAAGATACTATTAGAAATTACCAAAAAAAGTTCAGTGTTTTTTACCAAGTGAATGGCAAATGCTTCTTTTATTATTTAAAGAATATCTAGTGATCTTATCTCAATCTGCTATAATTATCAGCATGACAGACTAGTGCCATTTAAATCAATAATTTTCAATGAACATCAAAAGTACACAGTTGACGTCTCACCCTTCATGGCCATAAAATACCTGTCAAAAGTTTAATTTGCAAAAGACTAACTTGCATTCTCTTAGTTCTCTTAAGCCATTTGGATTCATTTCCAAAGGTGAGTTTAAAAAAAAGTCACTGTGTGGTTACTAGTCTTTCTAGTTAACTAAGAACTGATCAAACTAAAATCCTTTCCCATGTATACTGTTTTCTTTAGAGGATTCAAACATTCCTTCAGGTCTTTAAAGACAGATACTGCAAACCTTCGGACTTGTTAACTTGCAGTTTGATTCTGCTACCTGCTACATGAGAAAAGGCTCCTGAACCAGTTGAGTGTAATAGGTGGGTCATTATGCCAGCAGATTAAATGTTAGATGAAAAACTTCGTCTGTTTTATAATAGCATTGTAATTACTTTCTGATACTTCTTTCTAAAATGCTTCCAGATACCTAACAACTATCTGCAAATCATACTCTTATGCTACATAAATATTGCTTAAACAAAACAAAAACATATTTATAAATTCATTGACGATTAGGCTAATTAGACTGAAGTTTCATCCTGAGTCTTTTTAGATTTTCTACATATAAAATAGATTTTATTCTTTTAAAAAAGTTATAAACTTATATAGCATCATTCTTCTGATACGTTCAAAGTGCTTTACCAACATGCTAACAAAAAGTCCAAGGACTGTAGGTAGCAGGACTGTTATCCTTTATTTTGCTTACAGTGTATGAATTCTAAACTTTAGCACATCAAGTGCAAATATCTCTTTCAGATACCTATACAAGTATATAAGTGTTATTAAATGGAATGGTGGGTTTATTAAATGCATTTTTAAAAAAGCAATTATATTCCAATGCAAAGTAATTAGCAAAAGCATGTGGAACAGATTAGCTTGGATTTTATTTTGTTTATTTTTTGTTTTTATTTTATTAATTTTTTGAGATGGAGTCTTATTCTGTTGCCCAGGCTAGAGTGCAGTGGCATAATCTTGGCTCACTGCAACCTCTGCCTCTTGGGTTCAAGTGATTCTCGTGCCTCAGGCTCCAGAGTAGCTGGGACTACAGGCATGTGCCACCACACCCAGCTAATTTTTTGTATATTTGGTAGAGATGGGTTTTGCCATGTTAGCCAAGCTGGTCTTGAACTCCTGACCTTAAATGATCTGCTCACCTTGGCTTCCCAAAGTGCTTGGATTACAGGTGTGAGCCACCCTGCCCAGCTATTTTTATTTTTTTGAGACAGAGGCTTGCTCTGTTGCCCAGGCTGGAGTACTGTGGTGCAATCTCTGCTCACTGCAACCTCCATCTCCAGTACAAGCGATTCTCCTGCCTCAGCCTCCTGAGTAGCAGGGACTATAGGCATGCACCACCATGTCTGGCTAGTTTTTCTACTTTTAGTGGAGATGGGTTTCACCACATTGGCCACGCTGTTCTCGAACCCCTGACCTCAGGTGATCTGCCTGCCTCAGCCTCCCAAAATGCTGGGATTACAGGCCAGATTAGCTTTTAAAATTCTATTTGTACATATCTGGGGGGAAAGTATATGGGGAAATGGAATAATAAAGAAAAATAATAAAAAAGGAAAGTTTTTCTTGGAGTATTATGTTTATATATTACAGTCAAGAAGGCTCCTTTAGATTACCTGCTGTGTAGACTGCTGAAGCTACCAAACTCCTGAGTTGTAATTAAAAAAATGATTTAAAATACATGTGGAAAACAATGAAAAACACAAATATTACACCTAAAACTTACATTAGTCAAATCCAACCTTTGAAAATCTTCATAGAACAAAAGGAACAGAAAGAAAAGGAACATAAAACACAGAGAACCAGAGCAATGAAATATGTCTCCTATAGACATAATTTCAGGGAGCAAATGAAACAGGTTAATGCACAAAGATATGAGTGAATCATGTAAACAGACTTGAAAGGCAGTAAGTGGTTGTACCAAGTATTCACTAAAATATGCAATCGTAGTCCTGCCAAAAATTTAGAAAAATTAAAAGGTTTATGGTATCTGTGTTGGTGAGTTGTCCTTTGAGGGAAATTACAACTTAAAACTTTCCTGAGGATAACTTAAATGGAATATGTACATAAGGATCCACCCAATAAGATTACCAAGAGTTGTTTTCAGTGTCTTAGAAATAGCTTTCCAGGCTAGCAGCCTAAAGCTATACTCATTTTGAAAGGGACTGTTTTGCAGAGTGTTGTGATTCAAGGCAGAACTGAAAGCTGAACTCTAATCAGAGTCCCAGAATATGGGAGAAGCAGGTGTGTGTAAGGATTTGGCAAACACACATCATAACAACAATGAAAGGTATCATAACGTACGATTGGAGAATAGCAAGAAGAGCATGTTACAAGCTTAAGTCCCCAAGTGGCAAAAGTAATCTGATCTGTAACTGACTTCAGACAAAGGAACACTAACTTTCTCTGCTCAATCCTGCTTTAAAGACCTTCAGAGAAACATTTATTTTTTCTGTTTACAGACCTACTAAGAACCTCTTTATAACAAAGTTTTCATGTTTAAGCTCATTTTTTATTAGTTGACACTCAGAGGATATGAAAAATAGCCTGTCACTATTTCCTTCATTTATTTATTCAACAAACATTTTCTAAATATTACTACTTGGTGCTGGGCATACAAGGTCCTTGTACTTTTAAATAGCGGACCACTGACTGAGAGAAAGAGATTTGTATGTAGATAATTATATTGGGATGAGAGTATGCTGTGATAGAGAATAATAGAAAAAGATATAGGAAAGAGATTTAACTTTACTGCAAGGAGCCATGAGGGAAGTGCTTATAAAAGTGCTATTTCAGAAGAAACTATCAAGGGAAGATGGATATTTCAAGGCAACAACAGCAAATGCTTGACACAAGAATGAAAGTATGACACATTTCAGATACAGTAAGCAACTTATAACTGGACTGTACAATGAAAAAAATGAGAGAGAGGTAAGAGATAAGGCTCTAAAGGGAGGGGCAGGATTTGCAAGGACATGAGGCCATGCTGAGTAGTTCGTAAGTTTATTCTCTTAGGGGCTACCAGATGGATTTTTTTTTTTTCTTTTTGAGACAGAGTCTCACTCTGTCCCCCAGTTTTGAGTGCCGTGGTGTGATCTCAGCTCACTGCAACCTCTACCTCCCGGGTTTGATAAATTCTTCTGCATCAGCCTCCTGAGTAGCTGGGACTACAGGCGCATGCCACCATACCAGGATAATTCTTTGTATTTTGGTAGAGATGGGGTTTTACCATGTTACCCAGGGTGGTCTCGAAATCCTTAGCTAAGGCAATCTACCCACCTCGGCCTCCCAAAGTGCTGGGATTACAGGAGTGAGCTACCACGCCCAGCCTACCAGATGGATTTTGAGGCTTCACATATTCAAATGATTACTTAAGCTTCCCAGTTATATCTTTTTTACATTTTATAAGTCTTTCTTTCCTTACAAGTAGATCTTTGCTTTCATTCCTTTAACCCTTTTCTGAATCCCCTGTAAATTCTCACTTTTTCTCAGCCCAGAACTAAATACAAAAGTCTCACAAGTAGCTAACTGTACTGAGTACACAGACATTGTCCCACACACTATATGCTTCTATTTAAGTACTATAATAGCAATTATTAAAATAGCTCTTCTCATTATTTTTGGTATTCACCAGAAGGACTTAGTTTAGTTGTATAGAAACAAAGTACACAGGAATAAAATAAAGAAATTGCTAAAGAAGTTTTAAACCAGTGATCTCTTAAGTAATAAGTAAGAACTCTTGTAACTCAACAGCCAACCCCCACCCCCAAAACAAATGTTAACTCAATTAAAAAGTGGGCTAAGGACTTGAATAGACATTTCTTCAAAGAAGACATACAAATGAACAACAGGTTACATGAAAAGATGTTCAATGTCACTAATCATCAGGAAAATGCAAATCAACATCACAATGAGATATCACTCCATGCTTATTTCTAACAAGCTATTGTTTGAAACAATATTGGCTATTATTTAAAAAACAAAAGTAGTAAGTGTTGGTGAGAATATGGAGAAATTGGAATCCTTGCATACTGTTGGTGGTAATATACAATTGTGCAACTGTTAAGGAAAATGTATGAAGGTGCCTCAAAAAATTAAAAACAAAACTACTATATGATCTAGCAATCCCACTTTGGGGTATTTACCCAAAAAAACTGAAACCAAAAACTGAAGATCTTGAAGAGATTTTTAGCACTCCTATGTTCATTGCAGCATTATTCACAATAGCCAATATGTGATAACAACCTAAATGTCCATGGGCAGATGAATGGATAAAAAGACTGGAATAGTGGTAGACAGGAACTGGAAGGAAGGGAAATGGGCAGTTACTAATCTACAGGAATTAAGCTTCAGCTAAGCAACGTGAATAAGTTCTGAAGATCTGCTATAAAACATTGTATCCATAGTCAATAATAATGTATTGTACACTCAATTTTTTTTAAAAAAGAGTAGCTCTCATGTTAACTGTTCTTATCACAATAAAATAAAATGTCTAAAACATTGAGTCTTCCAATTTATGAACATAGTATGCCCTTCCATTTATTTATTCTTTTATATCTTTCAGAAGGTTTTAGTTTTCTGCCTGAAGGTCTTGCATATTTCTTGTTAGCTTTATTCTTAGCATATTATCTATTTTTAACATTCTTGTAAATATTTAGAGAATGTTTGTTTTTAATAAACAATTTAAAAAGATAAACTTTAAAATATAATTTACATGTAGTAAGATGCATCCATTTTAAATTTGATGTTTTAACAAATGTATACTCCTGTGTAATCAGACACAATAAGGCTATAAATCTTTTACATCTCTCTAGAAAGTTTGCTCATGCTCATATACTTTTGCAGTCATTTCTGCCTACCCTGGCATCAGGCAATCACCAATCTGCTTTCTGTCATGCTACATTAGTTTTGCTTGTTGTAGAGTTTTATGTGAATGTAATTACATATGTCCTCTTTTGTGTTCTCAGCATAATATCTCCAAGATTCATTTACATTATTGTGTATTTCAGTGTCTTGTTCCTTTGTATTGCTGGGTAGTATTCTATTGCATGGGTATATCAGGATGTGTTTATTCATTTGTCTGGTGATGGACATTAAAATTTTGTCCTGTTTCTGGATACTACAAACAAAACTGCTATAAAATTTTATAATAGCATATAAAAATTTTGAATAGCCATATGTTTTTAGTTTCTTTGGTTATGTACCTTAAAATGGAATTGTTGGGGTCATGTAAGTGCATGTTTAGCTTTATAGGCAATGGCCTATTTTTCAAGATGGTCGTACCATTTTACATTCCTACTGGCAAAATGTGAGAATTCTAGTTGCTCCAAATTCCTCTCACACTTGTTACTGTCAGTCTTTTAAATTTCAGTCATTTTCATAGTGGTATCTCACTGTGGCTTTGATTTTCATTTGCTTGATAACTAATGATACTAAAAATATTTCTCATGTGCTTGCTGGTCATTTGTATATTTTATTGAAACAGAATTTATTTTCAAATATTATGTCCAGTAATCTTGCAATTTTGAAGGGATTTTCTATGTACAAGTCATACTTCTAGTGAATAATGATAATTTTATTTGTCTTCTTTCATATGTTATATCTTTTGATTTCTTTTTCTTGACTTAGGTTCTATTCAACATTATGATGTTGAATAGAAGTGACAGTGGACTGTCTCTGTCACAAATGAAAAGCTTTCAATGTTTCATAATTAAGTATGTTTGCTATAGGCTTTTTGTTTGTACATTGTAGCAGATTAATAAAGTAATAAAGTTCCTTTCTCTATCCCCAGAGGTTAAGAATTGCGGTTGTTTTCTCCCTGTGGACCATGAGTGGATGTTGATATTTTTCCAACCTTTTTCTATATGTGCTTGATTTTTCTTTATTCTGTTAATGTTGTCAATTACATTTCTTGATTTTTGAAAAATTAAACAATCTTGCATTCCTAGAATAAATCCAAATTGACCGTGGTATGGTAACCTTTTAAAATACTTCTGGCTTGAATTTGCTAATTGTTTTCTATAGGAGTTTTGCATCTATGTTCATAAACGAAATTTGCAAAGAATTTTCCTTTCTTACAATAAACTTAAAGTGATTTTGCTTTTAAGAAAAGCTAGATCATAAGAATGCCACATATTTATGCCTTATTCCATTGGGACACTTGTTCCTGGAAGTTAGCCACCATGCTATGAGGAAGCCCACACAAGAGAAGTAGAGAGACCATATGGAGAGGCCACATGTAGGTGTTCCAACTGACAGTCTGGCAGAGGTCTTATTAGCTGAAAGCCAGCCCCAGACAACATGGAGCATAAACAAGTCACTACCACTGTGTCCTATCTAAATTCTTAATTCACAGAATCTATTAATGTAATAAGATAGTTGTTTTATGCCAGTAAGTTTTGTTGTTGTTGTTGTTTTTCTTGTTATTTTTCCTGTAAGTAGAGTTGGGGTGTCACTATTGCCTAGACTGGTCTCAAAGTCCTGGGCTCAAGTGATCCTCCCACCTCATCCTCTCAAAGTGTTGGGTATAGGCGTGAGTCACTGTGCCTCATCCTGCAGTGGTTTTTAATGCAGCAACAGATAACTTGAAAGAGGGAGGATGGGAAAATATCTTGGGACTGTTCAAAGCATAATCTCATAAGCAACAGGGTACTTCTTTGGGTAAATCTGAAACAAATGTAACAAGGTGAATTTGGCATGTAGCTACCTAGCTAAATTGCATAGAGCTGTTCTTTCTGGGAAAAACAAATACTAATACACGGTGGTGCTGTGGTGAAACTGTTCCAGTTTTCTGATTCCTGAAGAGGTTTGTGTCCCCCTAAATGTTAAGGGCTCCTATTATTATATGTTCATTATTATCTGTGAAGCATTACACAAAAATATGTAAAAAATGTGGTTTAATACAAGGATGGCAATATGTGACAGGAAAGTGCACTGACTCTGGAATCTAATAAGGCTCAGGTTCAAATCCTGGATACACCATTTACTGACTCTGTGACCTTGTACAAGTTACCTTCCCTATTGGCCTCAGTCTTCATGGAGTTAAGTAAAATCAAAATTATTGTTTCTGAAATACTTGTTAAGTATTCAATAAATAATGGACATCATTATTATATTCTAATATTTCCAACAAAATTAACTTCCATTGACAAAATACAATCTTAGAGTACAACTACAGTTATAAAATATAAACTAACAAAAAACCAGATTATTCATATATATGTGGAAATTATATTCCTGAATCTTACTTTTCCTCATCACTAACACCACTGTGTAGAAATAATGACCAAATGCTCCTAAAAGCATGAATTTATCTTTATCAGTTCAGTAAGTGCGCCAAATATTCACAACGTACAGTCTATAGAAAAATAACATAGCAAAAATACAAGCAAATTACTTCCCTCCTCCTCATGATTACAATGAACAATTTAAGGTATTTTTTAACAAATGCTCCTTACATCACTTAGCTGCCTGTTGCAGAGTGGGGTGGCTGCGTTGGTACTGTGCTTATTCCCTGCCTTTAAAGCTGCATCTCTTCTTGCTTGCTCAAGCAGAACTCTTGCTCTTTCCTTAAGTTCTTCTTGTCTAGATAACATTCGATGCTTAAAAGCAATGATACAAAATTAGAAGCCAAAAAAAAAGAACACATAATCTACATTTGTAAACTAATGAAAGGTTAGACAATCTGCTGAAATAATAGAGATCATGAATAAGATTGTAGCTTCATGAGATTACCTATGGAGAATATTAATATTGACTAGAAACCGTGGAATGAATACATAAATCTTGATATAAGGGAAATAAATCTTTACTATCTAAAACTGATTAAATTTAATTATAATTTTATTAGAACATATTCTCATTAGGTATGAGGCTCATATATATTATACATATTATCAGCATTTGCTCATAAACACAGTATAATCTAACAAAGAAATTTTTTAACGTTCAGAGTTTTATTTTCAGTCTTATAGAATTGATAACGTTTTCCAAATTTGAATGTTAATAAAATGTTAAATGTCTGTGGCAATAATTTAAATTCTTGAGAATGTTTATAGAAAATTCAAAGCCATTATATTTCATTAAAAAAAAAGTAAAACTAGTCTTCTCCATTGCTCACTATCTGTATAAAAACAACTGACAATATCAGAATTGGAAAAGTATTCTCCTGGATTAATCTGTAATTTTACAATATAATTTTGGAGAACAACAGGTATTGTCCATCAACAGAGATCAGTTCTTAAATGCATTTAAAAAAGCACAAATATTCATCTTCCTTATAGTCCAAATTCCTTTTTTTTCTACTAAGTAACCAACTTCTGGCTTTAGATGTCTATTATTATTATCTGGTACTTAATTTCTTTTATTTCCCTTTCATTGCATAGTTTTGGTTCAATCATAAGTATTACTTTCAAGGAAAAGAAAATAAGTACAGCTATTACTTTATTTCATATTATTTGAAACTATCTTTTTAAAGGTAAGTTCAGCATTTTGATGTTTCTTTGTGATCTTTATATTTTACTATTTTTTAAAGCTTTTTTTCTATAATCTTAAAGAAAAGATTTTTCTTAAAGTGTACAATTCAGTAGTTTTTAGTATTTCATAGGGTTATGAACGATCACCACTACCGAATTCCAGGACATTTTCATCACCTAAGATTTTTAAGAGGATTAAACAAAAATTCTTAATAGATATAAATAAAATGTATAAGTGATAATGATAGGTCTAAGTTCAGGTTGAACAGGACACAATAGAATTGGTCATTACATTTGACTGGTTACAATATCAACAGTGTCTCAAAAACAGACAAAATTAATTAACTGAACACTGAATTTTCAGTCAAGACATCAGGCTGTTAATCCCTCTTCCACTAATAATAAACAACGTAACCTAGAGCAGGTCAGTTAAAAACTTACATTCCATTATACGATGTTTAAGAACTGTGGAGTCAGACAGACCTGGGTTCAAATACCAGTTCCACCACTTAATTATGGGCAAGTTAATTTCTCTAAGCCTCAGTTTCCTCATTTATAAAATAAGGGTAAAAAGAGACCAACTCTCAGAAGGACAGAGCAAAGATTAGATAACAGTATAATGTATTGAGCAAAGGCGCACGGGAAGCACTGAATAAATGTTAACTATTTGTTTTAATCCCTCGATTTCCTAATCTTTGAAATGAGGGATCATCTTTAAAATCCCACTAGCTCTAATTTCTGTGATTTTATCGTCTTCAGTGATTACAACCAGCTACAGAGACAGTGAAAAACTGTTTTGGTCTTAACACCAAAATCAAATCATCAAAAGACTATAAAATCACCAATTGTGTTTAAGAGCACATAAACATAATTTTTTTTTCTGGCTAGAAATGCAATTCACTACAGATATTTCAGAAAATAAATATTAGTTAAAAAGAAGAAAAATAAAAAATCAGTAGTAGTCCTGGTATCCAGAGATAATCACTGTAGAATCATGCTTTTTTTCACTTACTGTATTTTCAGCATTTTCTCAAGGTCTTAAATATTTTTTGAAAACATATTTTTAAAAATTATTTTATTTTATTACTTTTTTGAGACAGGGTCTTGCTATGTCACCCAGGCTGGAGTCCAATGGCACGATCACGGCTCACTGCAGCCTTGACCTCTCAGGCTCAAGCGATTGTTTCACTTTAGCCTCTCAAAATACTGTGATTACAGGTCTGAATTACCATGCCCAGCCTAAAACCTGATTTTTAATTGACTACCTTACATTATATTGTATAGATGCATCATACATAGTTAACTTGCATTATTTTACTGAACATTTAGGTTGCATACAATTTTTTATGGTTACAAATAATGCTTCATGAATATCTTTAAAGGTAAATTTTTATTATACAATTCTAATTATTTCCTTAGGAAAAATTCCTGAAAGTGGGATCTAATGAGATAAACATTTTTAAGGAATTTGACGCACATTGTTAAATTGTCCTTCAGTAATGTTGACCACTTTGTATTTCGGCTATAATTACTTTTTAATTCTATTATGGTAAAAAAAAAAAAAAGACATTAAAGTGGAGAAGCACAGACTTTGAAGACAAGGTTGCTTTTGAATTCAAACTTTAACATTTATCATGTAACCTTAAGTAATCCTGCAAACCCCAGATTTCCCACAAATAAAATAGGATTTGACTACTTATCTTATGGGTTGTAAAGTTTAAGAGATATGTGTAAGATATATAACTGTCATCACAAGTATTAGGTATCGAAATGGACAACATTATGACTTTGTTAAGTATGTAAAGCCATATTAAAGTTACTAAGTTTTCTCAAATCCAATGCTTTTAATTGTAAGATTTGCTATTATTTTATGAACTACTAAGAAAGAACAAATGCTGCCAATTAAACTCTGATATACTACCTATTACAAGTAATACGTTGATTTCAGAGAAGTTAAAATGTAAAAAGATGTATATTTGAGAATTGAAATACTGTGTACCAAAGAGAAACAGATTTTTAATTGTCCAAAATTCAGCTGGTATATGCAATTTTAAAAACCTACCAAATGTCAGCACCTATATTACACTGTTTATTGTTAGACATTACTTTTGCCAATCCAGTGTCAATAAAAACCTTTAAACTTACCCTAAGCAAAATTCTGACCAATAAGCCAATGAATGGCCAATGGAAACACATATGGAACTATCAATATATGTTGCTTCTATCAATAGATGTTGCTTCTATCATCCGGTAAACTTTAAACATCTGAATAGAATCACAGAGTGATGGTTTCACAGCTAAAGGGGTTCTTTTTTTTTTTTTTTTTTTGAGACGGAGTTTCACTCATGTTACCCAGGTTGGAGTGCAATGGCGCGATCTCGGCTCACCGCAACCTCCACCTCCTGGGTTCAGGCAATTCTCCTGCCTCAGCCTCCTGAGTAGCTGGGATTACAGACACACACCACCATGCCCAGCTAATTTTTTGTATTTTTAGTAGAGACGGGGTTTCACCATGTTGACCAGGATGGTCTCGATCTCTTGACCTCGTGATCCACCCGCCTCGGCCTCCCAAAGTGCTGGGATTACAGGCTTGAGCCACCGCGCCCGGCCAAGGGGTTCTTAAAGATTATTGCATTTAACAAAAATGGAAAATAAGATCACAAGAGACTAAATGGCTAGTTAACATGTCACACTAGTAATTACTGGGAGAGTCAAAATGAGAATCCAGGCTCACTGATTCCCAGTCCAGGGTATTTTTAATTTTAAACATCAATCAATTTCTAGTTTTAATTAAACATATTTGCCTTAAAAATCTGGTTTCTAAGAAAAATCTGGCCAGGTGCAGTGGCTCATGCCTGTAATCCCAGCACTTTGGGAGGCTGAGGCAGGCAGATCACCTGAGGTCAGGAGTTTGAGACCAGCCTGGCTAACATGGTGAAACACTATCTCTACTAAAAATACAAAAATTAACTGGGCATGGTGGTGCACACCTGTAGTGCCAGCTACTGGGGAGGCTGAGGTAGGAGAATCACTTGAACCCAGAGG